TCTGCCATCACAAGAACACATGTTCTTCAGCTGCATGCCTCTAAACGAGTCTGCTTGGTGTGATTAATGGCATCTAGTTATCTAAGATGTGCTGCTCATCTTGGGCTGTGACTTCTCTCAGCAGGGTCTCCTGTCACCTCTGAGACAGATGCTGCATCTTTCCCTGGGGCAGGGAGTGCTCCAGCTGCTGAGCACCACAGCAGCACTTCACCTTGCACAGCTCTGTGGGCTAGCACAACTCTAATGCTGATGCTTTGTGCCTAAGCTTAGCTCTTTGTTCCCTAACTCAGATTTGTCTTCTGGACTTTGCAAACAGCTGGCTGCTTTGACCTGAAGCAGAGGCATATGGCTTGAAAGATAAGGAGTCAGGAAATAAAAGGAATGAGCTGGGAGAGCACAAGCCTGGAGTGGTTTGTGCTAGACTTTGTGCTTCAATAATGGGATTTACTGTCTTAATTGCAGCAGGTTTTGACTTTATATTGCCTGTCCCAGTCTTTTAAGTCTCTGCTTCAAGACCAATGCTTCATGTTATTTTATCTTGTGATTTTAATTCTGGGAAGAACTCCCTGTTCCTCCTTGTTTAGCTTTGGAAGAAAAGACTTTTCAACACTCAAGTGCAACATCAGTGATTTGATGTGGCAATTGTTCCTCCTTCCTGGAGAGAGAGAATCATTATTCTGCCCACAGTTTTAGTCAAATGCTTTTTTGTTTTGAAGCTTGAAAAAAGCCTCACTCAGTTCCTGCCTTCAGACCTTCCTAGAAACTTTGCCTGTCAGGAGACCCAGATAAACCCAGTTCAAAGCCTAAAAGAAGAGATTTGTTTTCCAGGGAAATAATCTTGTCCTGGTAAAGTTTTAACCTCACAATCTGCAATTTTTTGAGAAGTTTAACTGGACCCTTATTAAAAGTGAGTGAATTGAAACGTGACCAGTAATACTCTAATTAGAATTTGCAAAAAATGCATCAAGTTAGAAAATACATCAAGTTAGATAATGAAAATAGCTGTTAGGACAGTTTAATTTTGTCACTGACACTCCTGGCCTATCTGAATACTTGCATGGTGTGTGCATTGGCTTTCAGGTGTCTGTAAAATTTAAGTACAGCTCTTTCTTTGGAATGAAAATACAGGCTAAGGTATAGAGACTTTAGAAAACTATAAATTAGAAACAGTAAGTGTTGAGAGAAGCATTTGGAAGATAAATATCAGGGACAACACTGTTTAGCACTGTTCCAACTGTTTCTAGCAAGTGGCAGGTGGAATTGTGGTTTCACCTAAAAGCTGGTGCTGGATTGTAGGCAGTCCATGCAGCTTTGTGCACATATCAGTGTCTGATACCACTACAGCAGAGAGGAAAGTTTAACAATAAAACTCTGTGGAACTTTATCAGCACTTCACTGGGAGTCAGTTCAGTCGACTGAGATTTATCTGGTCATTCACAGCACTTCTGTTCCTTTGTCTGGTATTCTAAGTGATCCCTGAAATGCAGAAATAAACCACCTACAAATCCAGAGTAGTTTTCCAACAGCACTTGGAAAGTATGAAACATCTGTAGGTGTTACTTGCCTGAGTGTCAGTCAGGGCTGTTCTTAAACACTCACATGTTCTTGGCATGCTTTTGGAGGTTAGTAGGCTTAAGTTTAGAGATTCCCCACAAAAATGATGAATTATAACCTGCTATGTGAAAAATCTTGTATGAGAGCTGTGGTGCAAGTCATACCTGACCTTTTGTGTCCTTTTAAATACTCCTCAGGCCGTGGAGTGCTGGCTCATGGTTCTGAACTTGGTGGACAATTTTTCTGGCTTTCTACTTTGGATTCTTTAAGTACTGCTATCTTTATATTTGCAATCATTTGTGTTCTTCTTGCAGGAAAACTAAAAAGAACAAACAGAAAAGTAAGTATGTCTTTATTTTGTATATCACTGGCGATGCTTAGCTGGACTAAAACCTTAAATCAGCCTCAACTAACTTTCCTTACTGTCACTTTGTGGTGTTCCTCATGGACTTCAGATGTCTCTCTTCCTCTTTGTCAGGAGGAATTGTACTTTTCTGGTTTGCACACAAACTGCTTGTTTCAGTCTGTCAAGATTTTGACCTCTTGTACACTAAAAGCAAAGTGATATCTCCATGGATCTGTTGAAATAATTTCTGGAGTCAAACTTGTGTTTTCTTATTATGCTGGAGATGTGACTTGTCTGCAAAGCTGAGCTGCTGGTTCCAGAAATTTTTTCTGAAGAACATTAGAGATAGTGACTTACTGGTTTGTTTTTAGTGCAGAAACCTCCATCTTCAGATGAGTCTAAAGCAGTTTAAACTGTCACAGATGTGTAGGACTTCAGAAAACAAGTAATAGTTAAAAAAAGTGAGACCTGAGAGAAGTCCGAGTCTTACTTTTAAATCCTTCTTCTAAATCTTCCCTTACTGGTGTTTCTTACTGACCTGGAGGTTTCTGAAGCAGGATGGTGTCTGTGTTCTGTGCAGCTCCAGGGATTGGAGAAGGGAGCAGTAGCAGTGAGACCCCTCAGCCCCCGAGGAAGAAGAGAGCTCGGGTAGACCCGACGGTGGAGAGCGTACGTACTGTGGTGGGGAGCAGAGGGGCTTGGCTCAGCCCCTCTGGCCGTGTGGCAGGGAGGCTTTGCCCTGCTCTGTGGTGCTCTGGAAGCTGCAGCTTGCAAAACTGACATTCCCAAGTGGCCTTGAAAAATGGAAACTATTTCCTTGTTCCCTCTGGAACCTCTGGGAACGACTGGAGTCGTTCCTCAGTCCAGGGCTCTATTTCAGTTGTGAAAATGAGAATATGGGTGACTCTTGGTACAGTTCTCTGAAAGTAACTAGTCTGGCTTTGCTTTTTTTCAGGAAGAAACATTTATGAACAGAGTTGAGGTAAAGGTGAAAATCCCAGAAGAGCTGAAACCATGGCTGGTAGATGACTGGGACTTGATCACCAGGCAGAAGCAGGTAACTGGTCCAAAGAACAATCTGGCTATGCATAGGTGAGGACACTGAACAGAGACCTTCACATCCTCTTCAAGTGCAGTGTAGTGAAGTCTCTGGTAGAGCCTGACAGCAGCCTGGTGGCTCACTGACAGTTCTCACTCTGGCTGGACTTCAACCAGAGGCTGCCTGTGAGTAGGACTGTGGCTCAGCAGAGCTGTGTGTAGATTTGTAGCATAGATTTGGTTGTCTCATAAGCATAAGCTATAAAGGCAAGTAACTTAAAAACACATAGGCTGTAAGTGTGGTGTTACCTCTGTGCATGCTTGCAGTTCTCTTGATGGAGAATTGGTCTGTAGGAACATCACATGTGATGCCAGTTTTACCTCAGCTCCTTCCTGCCTTGTTTACATGTCACTCACTGCCCAGTTCTGCAAGTGTCTAAAGTTTTCCTACAGCTCTGACAGAAAGCTTAGGGTTGTGATTCTTCTGCCAGGCTGGAGCCATGTAAAGCTTCCTGATATAGTAAATCAGACTTTGCTTTCCACCTTATAAAACACCTCAATGAACTAAAAACTTATCAATGAATTGTGATTTGTTTCTTGCATGAAAATACTCCTAAAATAGGCAAGAAGCATAGAAAGTAACACTGTTGAAAACTATGACTGTTTGATAGGCTGCAGTTGCTGGCTTTAACTTACTGCTGCTCCAAGATCTTTGTCCTTGCAATCCCAAAACTCTTTTCATGGCCTGTGTGGATGAGGCTGATATGTCTGGGTGAAAGCAGGTCTTAAATTAGCAGAGAAGATGCTCAAGTGCTGCTATGTATTACTGACTCCAGTTCTGGAGAATTGTTGGGTTGTTTTCCTCCTGAATGTCTTAAGACTGTGGTGCTCTTGAGAGGAAGCAGATAAGTGAGCTCATGCCTCAGAGGAACCCAGCCCCCAGGGATGTGATTTTGCTGTACTACTGAGCCTTGCTGTTTGTGACTGGAGTCTGTGGGTGCAGATGATCTACCTGTGGTGCTAAAGAGGGAATTAATCCTTGGGGAGTTGTGGCTGGGAATGTTTCTCTTCCATTCTGTAAGCTCTGATGCAGCTCTGATGTTCCTCAGGCTGTGCAGCTCCCCGGCAGGTGCCTGGCCCCCATGATCTCTTCCCAGCAGTGGTGGTGCCAGGTGCTGGAAGAGGAGCAGGCAGGAGAATGGGCAGAATGGTCAAGAATGGTCCCTGCTGGTCTTGTCCCTGTGGGTGGCTGGTGTGGGCAGGGCTGCGGGGCCACGTGGGCTCTTTGCTGTGGGCCTTTGACTCTTGGGGTGACTTCAGCAGCTCCTCAGGTGGCTGCTGAGCAGCACAAGTGTTCAGTGGGGACGTGGGTGTAGGCACTGCTACGGTGGGGTTTGGTATGCACAGCTAGAACAGCTGGGTGTTCCTTTGGCACAACACCTTCACCCACTAGTTTTAGTCTAGAAACACCCTTGTGTATGTTGATTTAAATTGGGCATGATATAATTTTGCAGATAAATGCCTACATAAATGAGACAACTTGTATTTTGGTTTTGTTTCTTGTGTAGCTCTTCTATCTTCCTGCCAAGAAGAATGTTGACTCCATTTTAGAGGATTATGCAAACTATAAAAAATCACGAGGAAATACTGATAACAAGTGAGTCGTGACCATTTCAGGCCTCACATGCTTCTCTGGCTGTTGTTGTTGGACTTGGGTGCTCTGGAAAATTTAGTGAGGTTGTTAAACGTGCCCCAGCCCTATGTCTGGCTTCGTGTTCCAAGACCAAGGTAATGGAGGAGTTCAGAAGTCTTTGAGGAGGCAGTTCAGGAATGCAGTGCTGCCTTCTGGGTGTTATTTCTGCTTCCCCCACTTTCCCCAAGCCTTTTCCTGAAGGAAGCTGATAGAAGCCAAGGGAATAGTTCTCCACCCCTTCATTCCAGCTCAGGCTTCCTATCTTGAGTGTATAAATCCAGTGGCACTTGAAGAAACTATCAAAAAAAAGCTGCCTTGCAGATGAGCCAAGTGTTGCTGTGTGGGTGGACTCTGTCAGGAGGCAGAGGGGTGGGGGACAGGGAGATGGAGCATGACTTCTTTTAAAAGAATCAGATGGACAAAGCTAATTCCTTTGAGGTGATAGCCTTGAAGATTCATCTTTAATTACCCCAGCAGTCCAGCCCTGACAACAACCAAGGTGTGTTTATTCTCAGATGCAGCTTTCCTGTTTTAAAGGGGGAGAAACTAGAAATGTGAAGTTATTTTCTGCCAGTCAAGAGGAAGCACATTATGCCTCACTGGGGTATTTTAACATTCTTTAGTGTAATTGTCCTCATGTCTGTTCTAAACTTGCTTGCAGGGTGGAGGGAGGGTTGTACTCAGATGTGCAGTGTCACTGCTAGCTCCTGCACAGTTACTCTTCAGGTAGTTGTGAAGCTGGAGAGGCCTGCAGAAGTTGAGGAGGCCTAGTTAGAAAGGGTCAGCTGCCTCAAATAGTCAGTGGCTGTCCTTCTGTTCACCAGGAGTCCAGTCCCATTAGTTGTAGTAGCACAGTACTCTCAAACTGGTGTGAGTTGGGATTAACAGTGGCTGAAAACAGAAGAGCTGGTAAGTGTCCTTGTAAGTGATGCTTTGAAGGGAATCACAATGTTAGGGGTTGGAAGGGACCTGGAAGCTGGAAGGACTGCTCTGAGAGTTAATTCTGAGTGGATGACTAGGAGCAAGGCTTTTCTTGGTTCACCTGAATTCTTACCAAGTTTAGAACAGGCCATTTTTAAAGGAGGCCTTGAAATGCTTCACTCCCTGTGGCTTTACATGTTAAGGTCTCCAGACAAATCTCCTTGAAAACTCTGAAAGCTTGTGAAAGATCTTCATGATTTTGACTCCCCAGGCCAAGTCTTACCTTGGATCAAGACTTTCCTTGTGTCCTCTCTTCACCAGGGAGTATGCAGTCAATGAAGTGGTGGCTGGCATTAAAGAATACTTCAACGTTATGCTGGGGACTCAACTGCTCTACAAGTTTGAGAGGCCCCAATATGCTGAAATTTTAGCAGATCACCCAGATGCTCCAATGTCTCAAGTCTATGGTGCCCCACACCTGCTGAGGTTATTTGGTGAGTATGAGCTCCAGAGGTGGAGGAGGATCTGTCAGAGGTATTCAAATGCTTCCTTTGCCTGTCTTGAGTCTCTGGGTGTCAGCTGCAGGGTCTGACCAGCACCCATGAAACCTGTGGTTTCCTTCTGTCCTTGCTCCACATACCTGAACTGTTTGGAGCCATTGAAGGATTTGGGTTGGAAATGGATTTTCAACAGTCTTGTTATTTTAGATGAGCTTCTTTATCTTGGAGCAGATTCCTGGGCTGGTTTATGTGCTGCTGGGAGGTTTCAGACTGTGCTTAAACACTTGTTAAAGCTGCTGTTGATAACCAAGTGCCACTTCTTTTGGAACAGTCCGAATTGGAGCGATGCTTGCTTACACTCCTCTTGATGAGAAGAGTCTGGCCTTGCTGTTAAACTACTTGCATGACTTCTTAAAGTAAGTATTTGCATCTTACTGAACACTTCTTCTGCTCAGAAATGCAGGTGACTGAAAATAGGCCACATTATAGAATCACAAAATCATTAAGGTTGGAAAATACCTCTGAGATCAATTCCAACCATCAACCAAACACTGCCATGACCACCAAACCATGTCCCCAAGTGCCATGTCCACATGTTTTTTGAACCCCTCCAGGGCTAGGGAGACTCCAGCACCTCCCTGGGCAGCCTGGGCCAATGTCTCACTACTGTCAGGAAAGAAATTCTTCTTAATATCCAATCAAAACCTCTGCTGGTGCAACTGGAGCCAATTTCCTCTCATCCTGTCACTGGTTACTTTGGAGAAGAGACCAATCTTCTCATCCTCTCACTGGTTACTTTGGAGAAGAGACCAAGCCCCACCTCACTCCAGGCTTGTGTCAGGAGCTGTGCAGAGCCAGAAGGTCTCCCCTGAGCCTCCTTTGCTCCAGGCTCAGCACCCCCAGGTCCTTCAACTGCTCCTCACAAGCCATGTTCCCCAGACCTCTCACCAGCTTTGTTGCCCTTTTCTGGATCCACTCTGCCCCTCAAGCTCTTTCTTATCCTGTGGTGCCCAAACTGACCCCTGTGCTCAGCTGTGGCCTCCCCAGTAACCAGTCCAAGGGCACCAACAGTTAGAGTTGGGTTTCAGTGAGTGATTGCTGTGTGAACCCCCAGTGTGGATTATCTCAGGCCTGTGTGTGCTCTGAGGAGCTCAGTGAAGCCTTCTCAGGCTCTGCTGTGCAGTAACACGGGTCTGACTGGTTCCAGCTTCTCCCCAGTTACACTGAGGTTATTGCTGGTTCCACATCTGTTTACATATCTATTTAAACTGTCCAAGTCTGGTGCTTGTTTCAAAATAAATGCTGAAGGGTTTATTTGTGGTTGCTATAAAAAGTCGATGACCGTTACAGCCAACTATTAAATTACACAACAGTTACCCAACAATGGAGCAAATGCTGAAAACTGACCCTTGCTAACCTGTCTTCTGGGACAGACTGGCATGGTTGCTTCTGTGCACTGCAGTGCCCTGGGGTGCTGTCAACATCTGTAATTAAAATCTCCATCCTAAATAATGATAGATTTTGATGTAAAGTATTTCTAAATAAAACATGGGACATTTGTTTTCATGGCCCCTTATCACAATGAGGGGCTGTCTGGAGTCACCTGCTGCTTGGTTTGCCCATAAAAATTTCCTGGAGGAGATTCTGAACTAGAATTAAACTGGAGTTTAGTGTCTGAGGTGTTGTGCCCATGTTCCCCTGTGGGCAGGGGTGCTTCTCCCTGAGACTTCAGCAGCAACCATGCACCTGTACCACACTGGTGGGACAGCATCTGCCTCTGCAGTTGCCTTACACCTCTGTGCAGGGACAGGGGTGTGGTGTGGAGCTGTCTGGGCTCACAGCACCAGTCTGGCTTTCTGCTGCTGCTGTACCAGCAGATTTTCTTCGTCAGCTTTACTGAAGCAGTAAACTTAGGTTTGATTGTCACAGAGAAATGTTCTGTGTTTTCCTGCAAGGCTTTAGTGGCCTTCTGATAGTGTTGGGAAATGCTGGTTTGTAAACTCTTGATTTTCTTGGTCAGCTTTACTGAAGCAGTAAACTTAAGTTTGGTTGTCACAGAGAAAAGAAATGTTTTGTGTGTTTTCCTGCAAGGCTTTAGTGGCCTTCTGATAGTGTTGGGAAATGCTGGTTTGTAAACTCTTAGGGTAATGCAATATTGAGAGATTTTGCCAGTAGATACCAGTTTTTAAGTGTGCAACTGGGTGAGCTTTGGAATTTGAAAGAAACCCCTCAGCAAATCCCAGATGGCTCTGCAGAGAGCTGGGAGTGGATCAGCCTGATCTGCAGGGCAGAAGTGCCTCAGGGTGTCCCAGAGCCAGGAGCTGATCGTGGTCTTTTGGGTCAGTGGGGAGTGAGGGCAAGAGCTGGAGGGCTTCCAGCTGTGAGGCTGGGACTGAGTAACTGGGGTGTGACCAGAAATCCCTGAGCCTGGGATGGCACCCAGGGCTCAGTGTCCACGACTGCCCTGGGCTGAGCGCCGCTCGTTCTGCTCCAGCCACCACTCCCTTGGCCACTTCCCTTCAGGTTTCTGCAGGCTGAGCTTCAGTGTCCTGCTCCTCGTCCCTGCCCCTCCGAGTACACCTGGGAGTAAATCACTCCAGGGCAGAGCAGCAGAGTGAAGTTCAGATGTGAACACCTTCACCTTGTTCACCTGAACCTCCCTGTGCTCGCTTGGAGCCAGAGCTGCTTCACAGCTTGTCTGGGATAACTTTGGGTTTCCTGGTATGAACTGTCAAACCTTTAATTGCTTTCCACAGCTGACTTTTTAGTAGATACATGTTGGTTTTCTGCTCTTGAAGTCACGTTTTATGGTCTCAAACATTTCAGCCCCATGATGCTAAACAACAGAAGCTTTGGCAGTGCTGGGGTAATGGTTGGACTTGTTCTTAAAGGTCTTTTCCAGCCTAAACACTTCTATGATTCTAAGAAGGTAACTTTGAATTTTTTTCATGATTTTTCATAGGTATTTAGCAAAGAATTCCTCGGCCTTGTTCAGTGCCAGTGACTATGAAGTGGCCCCTCCTGAGTACCACCGGAAGGCGGTGTGACACCTTGCTGCTCCTGGCACTGTCCCCTCCCTCTCCTCCTCCACCTCCCCGTGCCATGTCTCTAGTGCACCAATCACTAAATGTCAAGTGAATAAAGTTGTGTGTGTGGAAAACAGAACTGGCATCTCCAAGCCCTGAAGCTGTGATGGAGTGGAGCAGGAGTTCCTTGGTGTCTCTGGCTCGCTGCTGTGGGATGTACAGAGACTCGTGTTGGTGTTTCCTGGTGTGAGCTCGTGGGCTCTGTGGCCCTGAGGATTTGCTTCCCTCACCTGCTTCCTTGCCTAGTGATGCCACGTGCAGGCTGGGGCCCAGGGAGGGCTCTGGTCTCCTGGTGCTATTGGTTAGTCTGACTTTCAAACCCAGTTCCCTTCTTGGTGTTGGAAGTGAAATGTTTGGTCCATGAATATGTGCTTTGATTTAGGTAGCTGAAGGACTGTAATATTTTGGGTTTTGTATTTTAACAGTAGGCAAATGTGTTGTCCTCTCGTAGTGTCTTGGAGCTGTTGGTCTTTCACAGAGCTGTTTTACAAATCTTCCAATAAACATTTTTTTTTAATTTCACCTGTTTCTAATACTTGTATTGGTCCCCACCCTGTGACAGTGTCACCTCTGATCCGAGTGTATCGTGTGTGGCATAAAGCTCTGCAGCATTAACCCAGGGCTGCTGTGTTTCTTTTGCATTCTAAGGACTCTCTGAGCCCACGTGTCTGGTTCCAGCAGGGGAAAAGGATTCCTCTCCTCCAGGATCAGCACAGTCTGTGAGTAGGGATAACAAGGTTTCACTGCATGCATTGCAGATCTCCACAAGGCTGGTTCCTAAAAGCCTGAGCCCTGGGAGCACACACTGCCTGGCCCCTCCCCTCCCTGCCTGTTCTCCTTCCATTGTTTCCTGTGTGCTGTGAATGGACCCCTCTGGCTGCTGGCTCTAAGGGCTTCCTGGGAGCTCTTGAAATTCCTCATGCTCCCCATTCCTGTCTCGATTCTGCTGGGAGAAGCTCTGGCAAAAGCTGAGAGAGTAAATGGTAAAGAAGGGATGTGAAGTAATGCTGCTGGGAGGGAGGGTCTGACACTAGGGTGCCTTGGAGTCACAGAATAGAATCCTTTTGATTTGAAAGGGCCCTTGAGATCCTGGAGTCCAACCCTTCCCCAGCACTGCCAGGTCCCCACTGCCCCGTGTCCCTCACACCACATCTCCACGGCTTGGAAACCCCTCCAGGGGTGGGGACTCCACCACTGCCCTGGGCAGCCTGGCACAGCCCTGGGCAACCCTCCAGGGGAACAAATTGTTCCTCAGGGACAACCTCAACCTCCCCTGGGGCAACTTGAGGCTGTTGCCTCTTGTCCTGTCCCTTGTTCCTTGGGAGCAGAGCCCGACCCTCACCTGGCTCCAGCCTCCTGTCAGGTTTGTGGGTGTTTTGCCTGGTGTATTTTATTTTCATGAGCAGGTTTGGGTTGTGCTTGGCTTCAACCTCTCAGTGCCAGGCGTGTAAAGCTTCCATCTCCTCCTGAAGTTGCAAGTTCCCTGGGAGCTTATGGGCATTTTGTGGAAGGTCTCTGATGGAGCTGGCTCTGAGCTGCATGCTGTTGTGTAAGTCTGTGTCCTGCCTTGCTTTTTTTGTCTGCTTCCCTGTGTATATCCCAAGGCAGCTCCCCTGAAGTTAGGAACTCGGAATTCCAACACTCAGCTAAATTATCTCTGGCAGCCATCTCCTGTTCAGCTCTTCTCTCCTTCTGCCTTTAGGCCCATTAAGAAACTCTCCTAGTGGCTCATTTAGGTCCGTTTTACAGTAGTTGTTGTGTTTGTAGAGGCTCTCAGAACTGCTCTGCCAAGGGCCTGGTCTGCTGCTGGGGGCTGTGAATGTGCCCTTCCTGAGGAGCCCTCCACCCTGCTGCTGTGCCAGCTGGCCTGGAGGGTCCCCAGAGATGGGGTGCACCCTTCCCAGAGCCCCTGCTGGGGTGGGGAGAGGGGGAGATGCCAGCCTGTACCCAGGGAAGGTGGCACAGACTCGGGAGTCTCAGAGGTTGTCTCCTGAGGTTGGCTTGCAGCAGAACCCAGCAGGTTACATCCCACCCCCTTCCCCTGCCCTGTGCCAGGCAGAGAGGCTCCTGAGCTGCTGTTGTGTGTGGGGTGGTGCTGCTGGAGGGGTGTTCTGGAGCACAGCTGTTGTAAGGAGCAGCAGGAATATCTTCATA